TTGATTTGAGAGAGAGGGAGGGGGGGGGGAGCGAGAGAGAGAGAGAGATTGAAATTTGCTGCTCCACTTATTCATACATTCATTTGTTGATTCTTGTATGTGCCCTGACCAGGAATCAAACCCACAACCTTGAGTGAATTGGGATGACTCACCAACCAAGCTACCCAGCCAGGGTTCCACACGAAGATTTATATTTCGACATTCATAGCAGCTTCTGACCGTAATAGGCAAAAGGCTTGTATGGCCAAACAACTGTGGTATACCCATACCATGGACTATTACTCAGCAATAAAAAGGGGCAAAGTAATAATACACATGGAAGAACCAGAAAAATATTAAGCTAAGAGAAAGACACCAAACATCTGAAAAGGCAAAACTTGAAGGTCAGGTGGGGGATGGGGCTGACTGCCTGAGGAAACTTTTTTGGGTGATGGGGCTGTTCTGTCTTGACTGGTGGTAGTTATACAACTTTTAACAATTACTAACATTTATCAAATGATATACTCAAAATGATATATTCAAAACAATTACTAACATCAAATAATATACTCAAAATGAGTAAATTATACTCAATAAAGCTAGGAGAAAAAACACAAAAATTTAAAAAAGAAATTATGCTGATATAATGACTAACAAAGTCAGTCACAAGCAATCCTCCCTCCAAAAGAAAAAGGAAAGGAAATGCCTCAAAATTTAATAAAAACAGATTCCAGGGCCCAGTGCAGAGCTCCTGAATAGCTGACCATCACCTGGAAAATCCTATGAAGGCCCCATGACTCTGATAAAGGTGTGGTCCTTGAACCACTGCCTTTGGGAACAGAAACACCAGCAACTGCTAGGAAGGGTAACCCAGGAGGAAGTGGAGGGAGCAAGGGAAGGGTGCAGAAGGAAAAAGCCCGTGTCTCCCAGACCCCAAGTGCCCTAATATGCCTCAGGACCATCTCACCACAGCAAGACCCTCAGAGGGACCAGCCTGGAGGTCTCGTCACTCTTTCTCAAGATTTCTTACCTTTAGGGTTATAGCAGGTTTCAAAGACGTGCAATTGGTGGGGATTGTGTGTGAAAGTAAACACCTTAATCATAGAGTCCAAAACCACCACAATTCTAGAAAGAAAAAAACAATGAGATTTCCTCTCCCCAAAGCGACTCAAACGTTTTGTGATATCTTATTATTTTGAACCTTACAAACTCTGAACACCACATACAAAAGGATTATTCTTGCTTGAATCTGGGGCCCTTGCCGGAGAGGTCACCTATGAGTCAACTGCAGGCCCAGTCAGCACTAATGAGCAAGCGCCTCTCACCTGGGTAGAAGCTAACACCCTTTCTGAGGTTTAACGAGATCTTATCATCAAGTAGTCCACCTGGAGTAAGGACCAAGTAGAACACATGGGACAGAAATTAAATTTCTATGTGCTTTTAGATGTCTGGATAATTTTGAAATGCCAGGAGCGGGAGGATTTGACTCCATTAATTGCATTATTAAGGGCCCCTACATGTTGACATCGCTGCAAGTAACAAACCTAATGCAGGATGACATTCACTTTGTTCAGTGTTTTTGTCCTCCAAGCTGAATACGTAAATTATCCAAAATTAAATCCAAATTAATGAAGCTTTGCTTCAACTTGCTACCTAAAAAAACCCCTCAAGGTTCTCCTAAACACTCTGAATGCAAAGGCTGAGAAAGAAACCTGCTCTCAACAGGTCAAAGATACCATCTCACTAAGGAGTTTCCAAATTTTCCTTTAGCCTCAAGCTGAAAGCATTTATTGCAGCAGTTTTTGAAAAGCATGGTTCAAAACTTGTCCTCGGGCTGCACCTGCTGGTGGGGACAGCTCTCCTGAAGGACTGAGCCACTGAGCGCAGCACCCAGCTGAGGACCTGGTTCAAGGCAGGTGCATGTCATCCATGCCCACTGATGCCTCACCTCTAAATGATCAAATTCACTGCCTTCCTTGCAGCAATATAAATCATCCTTATGTCCTTTGGATTATAAACTAGTGCCATCATGTTTCAATACATCATTTTCCCAAACACTTTTTTCCTTCAACATAAAGTATTTCAGCCATCGTCAGAGAAAGAAACTATTCCACTTTTTAAAATTGGATACCAAACCTACCTATCTCGCCGCAATTTGACTGCCTTGACTTCTGTAGAAAATTCTATTTCAATAACAGTCTTCTTTTTCAGGTCATCCCAGATCATCACTGAAATATCAGAAAAATTTATTTTAACACAATAATAAACAGGCCACTCTGAAGAGGTCCTTCCTTCTACCACAATCACCTGACCAGGCAGAGGTGGTGTTTTCCCTCCCAGGTCTAGACATCTCCTCCCCTCAGGACTCTCCTTTCCTTCCCCTCCCCCATCAGCACTCACAGCCCCTTATGCATGTGCCTGCCCATATTCACACAGCCTGTAGTCTCCTCTCTGACAGCACTTGCCTAGTGCTCAGGCAAACTTCGCCCCAATCCGCTTTCTTGGGTTCTACTTGACTGAGCCAAAAAGCAAGCCAAACCATAGTTACTAAGTACTAAAGTGTTAGAGAGAAACCTGGGTCAATTTCACTGTGAAGTCAGATGCATAAAAGCCCAGGGCCAGGGATTTCTCCACCGCACCTGACCATTCTTGCTCTTCTTCAAGCTCAGAAACATTTGCCTGGTTTCACGGCAGGGTTTCACCAGGATGGACTAGGAGTCTGCATCCCACAGGCTGAGATAACTCAGATAACCTCTGAGGTTGAGAATGGTGGCCAGCAATGCTAGGGGAATGCAGGGGAATGTGGTATCCAGCCACTTTTACCTTCTCTACTTAAAAAGCCACCTATGAAGGGTGTAAGGTGAGGGAAGGCACGTTCTCCTCAACAGTCAGGTCATGGGCAAGGTGACCAAGATGGGAGGGAATGAATATTTCCCCTAAAGGTCCTGACACCACGAACAACATGAGCCCTGGAGGCCAAATTCACGTGTAAGTTTGCCAGAATGGACCAAGTGACTTAATACATCGAGAGAATTTAACACCAGCCTACAAGAACTACCAAGCTTTTTACATACCATAAAATTGATTTACTATTGAAGAGGTTAATTAAAATTTATAATCATTAAAAAATGAAGTAGAGAATATTGTTTTCCTGCTCCTTTAAAATACCATCTTTGTTCCAGAAATCTCTCCATTTAACAAATCTCTAAAGTACGTTCCCCCTTAAAGGGCACTAATGCAGTAACACACTAACATTCCACACCCAGATGTTCGTAACTTTCTGGGCAAGGACACTTCTACTCTTGTATATGATTCAAAAGTAAACTTGCTCTGGCTCTGCAACCAAATACCAAACACCAAACATCTGTAATTCAAAACAAACGTAAACTGGTTCAAGCCAGAGAAAGTCCCACAGGTGAGCAATGTCGACAGGGGCGTAAAAAATCTGGGTGAACATCGTTTTCAGAAATGTCTGTAAATGGTGTGACAAAGCCTGAGGCTAGTCCTTCGTACAGGACTACAGGGAGATTGAATGTGGCCAAAGACACAAAGATGTTCTAAAAAGTCCAGGAAGGGATTACACCTGAGTCACGATGATTAAATGCATGATGACTTTACCTTTGTTGGGAGGGTATTTTGGCTTTTTCCCACCACCAACTAAAGCTAAATAGTTGCAGCGGAATAGCATTTCAACATGGCCAACTCCTCCTTCCAGAAATTCTGAAATGATATTAAAAAGAAGTTAGTATGTACATTTTACAATTTAAAAAAAATGAAAAAGAGGTGAAATGTAACAGTTGGCATTTGATTTTTAAACTAGCAATTTACAGCATCGAACTACCATCAGAAATGAGAATGGTGACTGACTAGGGAAAATAATTAGCTATGGGCTTCAGACATCTCTCAGCATCCTGTCACCCATCAACTATTTTCATGTATAAATACTGAGCTTATAGAACACTAAGAAGCCAATGTAGCAAAATATATGACATACCTAAATTCGTATTTTACAGTATAGCAAAATTTGTAAGCTGAGAAAGCAAGCTAAACACTGTAATGCTAAAAACTGACTTTTTAAAAATCATTTAAATACTTCTTCCACTAAAGTTTGAAATGCTCAAAAATGTTCATGAGTTATATTAAGAGGAAAATAAATGTCAGCAGATTTTCAGATGTCCTCCAGGACAGAAGAATACAGTACTCTCTCAGAAAGTGAAGTGAGCCCCGAGAAGTATGGGGCTCAGAAAAGCAAACCCCATCACTGTGTGGTTTGTCACAGAGCAGGACCAACCCATCCATTCTCCTCAACTTTGCTCTCTGGTCTGAAATGACTATAAGCTCCTGGGACAGTGAGGGCACAGCAAAGGGCAAGTGAGGAATCAAAACCTCTAAGAATTGGAAGTCAACCTAAGAATCAACTTCTACCTATCCAGTCACAGCTGTACAAGATGATTCCAATTTCATTAGGTCGCTCCATGAGAAATTTAAAATTCAAGGCCTAGTAGAAACTCTAGTACTATATATTCAATATTATCCCTAATGAAAACAGTTTTTCTTTAAAACAATTTAACAGTCCTCTAACAAAAGCTACCTCAAAGTAATTCTGGCTCTACTTAGGATGTGGCCACGGTCCAAATCCAAACAATTACAATGGTTCATTCCTTCAACAGTGCTCCTCCTCTCCGCTAGGTGTGTGGCTTCAAGTCTGTAAAAGCCCAGGCTTCTTCTGCTCCCCCCTCCCCCCCAGTGCAGACTCCACCTCCAGCAACTGAGGCCCCTACCCTGGTTCCCACAAACTCATTCACCAGCAACAAGATGATGAAATGCCAGTTAACATTTGGTCTTGGCCTTTACACCCTTGATTAACAGACTGTAACAAACTAAAGCTTAATAAAATTTCTAATAACCTGCTATTAAACAAAAGCTGACCCTTCTCCCCCAATGAGGGAAAAGATAGTCTCTTCAACAAATGCTGCTGAGAAAACCAAATGTCCTGCAAAGAACAAAGCTGTGCCCTTAGCCTACATAAAAATTAACTAAAAATGGGCTAAAGACCTAAATGTAAGGTACAAAACTGTAAAACTCCTAGAGAAAGCACAGGCAAAACCTCACGACATTGAATTTGGCAATGATTTCTTAGGTATGACATCAAAAACACAAGCACCAAAAGCCAAAATAGATGAATGGGACTACATTAAACTTAAAAACTTTTGTGCCTCAAAGGACAATCAATAGAGTGAAAAGCAACCTACAGAATGGAAGAAAATAGTATTTGGAAATCATTAACCCCAGGGGTTAATATCCAGAACATATAACGAACTCCTACAACCCAACAGTGACAACAAAAATCAAATAACCCAATTTAAAAATGAACAAAGGAGTTGAGGTTTACACGTCCTCTTAATAGTTCTATAACCACTGGATTTAGTGTTTTATCCAATGTATCATTCTTGACACACCTTAATTTGTTCAAACTATACCTGTTGAACCCTCTTTCTCATAGACATTCATGTGTATGTGACGTATTTGCATCCAAGTCTACACTCTGACCCCACAGCATCACCATGAGAACGCCAGACAGGCTGCATTGCTGCGTTACGCCCAGGGGTCCCAGCCTTCCCGGAGGGAGCAGTGCTACTCTGACAGCTGAGTGAATCCACTCCAGGTGTGCACCTATAGCACCTTGGAGGAAGGTGGAAGATGCCTCCAGCTCCTAGTCCCTGCCAGCAGTGGGCACGTCCAGAAGAGGTGCTCTGCTCATGGCCAATCACAGTCTCCTTTACTCAGTGCCACAGTCACACTGGAGACAAGGCCAAGAGCCCAGATCTGGGAATGACCACTGTGAGGCAGGCACACCTTCTTCCTCCCCATTTAGGAACAAACCTCCCAAATAAAAAAGTAACAAGGCCAAGCCTTCTGCCTGTTTTCTACTGTTAAGTTCCCAGAAATGTCACAGCAGACTAACCTGCAAGTGCATATAAGTGAATTTGCACCATATAAAATGCATCATCAATAAGCACGCCACCAAATTCACAAGCTAAGCTCAGGGACAGCTGAGCAGTGACAGTGAACAAGTATGTGCACTACAGCACAACAATAGCAAATCTACCCGAAACTCAGGAGTGTTAGTGCTTCTTCTCTAACTTACTTTATAAGAATCTTAGATTTAGTACAAACATCTCTTTAGTTAGGAAGCGACTGTTAATATACTGCTATTAATCAACTCTAACTCCTCTCCAATTTAAGTAAAAAGTATCCTGAAATTCCTCGTAAGTCAAGCTGTTTCAAAATATTTTGTAACTACTTATCTATATAAAGCAGTTGTGGTAATTTACTATGCAACCAAAACAAAAGAACTAACAGGAGTCTTCCACCACCACCCTCTATCAGAGCCACACTGCTGTGCTCCAGACTGTGAGGGCACAAACTTGCATAGCACTAATCTATGCTTTACACAGTCTACTTCACTCACCTGTACAATAATCCCAGGAGGCAGGCAGTTATCCTCATTTTACACATAAAGAAACTGAAGCCAAGAGAAGGTGAAAAACTTTCCCAAGGATAGAGAGTAACATCCTAAGGGACAGAGCCAAGATTCGATCTAAACAATGTGGATGGTGTAGAGTCTGGGCCTTCACTACCAGGTTACACTGTCTTCCTCTAACAAATGAAAGTTATAGACCTCAGTGTACAAAATAAACTCCTACATACAAAGCGCCACTTACTGGTTTACATACCAGGCTGTACAGAAGGTATCATTTGACAAAGGGATTCCACTATTTAAAAAAAAAATCTGAAAACCCTTGATGTGGAGTATTACTTGTTAGAATGGAGGGGGCTGTTTAGTGGAGCACCAGGGTGGAGTAACTTCCTCTTACAGATGAGAAATTTCTAGCATCAGAAAATATAACTTGTACATTGAATAAAAACCACAACTACAACTGCAGGAGGAAAAAGGATGTTTCTTACTTCCTACGATTTATCTGAGATTTGTTCATCCATGGGCAGTGCTTGATTCTCCCAGCAAGACCAAGAAACACTAAAAGCTTAAAAAAACTATGTAGAGAAAAAACAAATTGAAAAAATTCTATCAGTAAATTAAACATTTTCCTGTCAAATGGAAAAAAAGCACCATTATTTTATTTTACCAACAGAATTTCTGATTGCAGCTTGTATTCCATGAAAACATAATTTTATTGCTACAAATATTTCTAAATATTGGTCACTCACTAAGAGTTAAGAGTCCCATCTGCTGTAATTAAACCCATCATTTGAGTTCTCTACAATTTTACACTCACCAGAAGAGTGAAAATGGTCTAGGTCAACTACACCTTGTTCCTCCAGACACACGGAAGGCAGATGCTTCAAAGTTGACAATTCACTGGAGAAATCAGTCTGGCCAATGCCCGCTGAATCAGCACTGTATCCTGGCCCTGCATAGAGCCAGGCACCGTAGAAGCTCAAAGAAAGAAAGAGCACAGCTCCGTCCAAGTTGACGGAGGACCATGAACCCTATTTACGTCTCAAAACCAGCTGTCCCCCCTGCCTCCATCTGCAGGATAAAATTTAGACTATGGCCTGACCAGTGTGCTCAGAGGTTGAGCACTGACCCATATACCAGGAGGTCGCTAGTTCAATTCCCAGTCAGGGCACATGCCTGGGTTGCGGGCTCGATCCCCAGCAGGGGGCATGCAGGAGGCAGCCCATCAATGTTGATGTTTCTCTCTCAATGATGCTTCTCTCCTTCTCCCTTCCTCTCTCTTTAAAATCAATAAAAACATATTTAAAAAAAAAAAATTTAGACTATGAGGGTTGGAAAAGAGAAACCATGACATGTCAGTTACTTCTTACCTTGTTTCTCTTTTTCTTTTAGTGGATCAGTGTTATAGACTCGGAATCCATTTTCCATCCCACATGCAAAGCATCCTAAAGCAAGACAGAGACATTAATCAGCTCACTGGGTCTGGAGAAAGCGGCCTCTCCTAAGAGTGCCTGCAGATGCACAGACCACACAGACATGGTCGGCATATGCCACAACCACTCTCCTGTGGGCAGTTATTAAATGCTGTGCACATCCTAGCAGGACAGCTTCAGTTTGTGACTTAACATGTAAAGGAGCCTTTGGAGTCACTCACTCCAACTTCCCACTGCAGGGCCCTTCTGTGGTGTTCCCATGGACCAGGCTCAGCTTCAAACAATTCCAGTTGAGAGGGCTCACTCTCCACCTCCGTGAGCCACTGTGCATTTCTGTCAACACCTGCCTCTAACATTCACCACTGGCCTCCTCCTGCCAAATACATCTCTCGAGCACTGTCTCAGGTAACAAGTCATGGAGAAGCAATGACAAATAAGGAAACGCACATCTCCTGGAGGACAATCCCATCAGATGTGAATAAACCAGGCTGCGAAAGGGGAGGAAAGTGCTGCTACAGGATGATCTTCTACAAGACAGATCTGAGCTCTCCCATCTGTAAATAATCCTTAAGCCCCTTTCATCATCACCAGGAGTGACCCAGGTCACCATCTCCAAGTCACACACCAGGTAGATTAACAGTCCAATTAACGGCACCGTTAGGAACTGAAGGAAGCACTGAAGATGACCCTGTGACCTGAACTTCATAAGTGGGACCCAAGATCAAGTTAATCTCCTTAAACACCACCACGACCAACGGCTGGTTCATAGGAAGCTGGTGGCTGGAAGAAGAAACAAACTCTCCCATTCTTTCTCACAAGGCAGGCTGCAAAGCCTCACAGCAACTGCCCAGCCAGTTGAATGCCAGTGCCGAGGCCCTCTTCATGCCATTCTACGGGTTTCCTGCTTTGGAACTACGTTAGCTATTCTATCCTGGCAGCCACCCTTCCAAAAGTGGAAAGTGTGCTTTTATTTTCTGTCCAAGTGACTTATAAAACCACAGAAGATGAGCTTCAATGATGACAGCTACCCCTGCGCGCTGCACACTGTGTTGTGCAATCAACACTGTGGCTCTGAAATGTGCCCCGTGGGAGCCTGCAGTCTGACAGCAACTCAAAAGTGCCACGTTATTTATCTCTCAACTTACTCTGAGTTGTAACTCCCTCTTTGTTTTAATGAAATCATGTAATCTGGACAAATTATCAGAGCTTGGCTTCCTGGAAAATATGTAAATACAGGAGTCAAACCTTTTCCCATTCTCACTCAACTATTACAACTTCCCCAAGTTTTAAGCCTGTATCTATCTTATTTGTCTTCACCAAAACACATACATTTCTTACAAGACTTGTATAAAAATATACAAATTAACTGCTGTAAACCCACAAGAAAAAGGCAGACAACCTAACAGAAAAACGAGCAAAGGACTTGAACGACAAACCACCCCCCTTCCCTCTCTCTGAAATCAATAAAAAAATTTAAAGAAAACTTAAAAATCAGTGTAAGTAAAAACAGAATGTAATAAATGCAATCATCTGGCATAAAATTATTTTATAAGAATTTAACCTAAGTGTAACCAGAAGCTTAAGTATAAAAGCACATTTTTCCCCCTAAAACATTATGAGCTTTACTTACAATTTTTTACAATAAAATGAGCTGGTTTTACAGATTATTTTTCAGACAATTGAAATTATGTCTATTTAAAAGCCAAACCTTTATTTTGCACTGGTTGGTGTGGCTTAGTTGGTTGGGCGTCATCCCGCGCACCGAAAGGTTGCCAGTTTGATTCCCATCAAGGCACATGCCCGGTCTGTGGGCTTGATCCCTGGTAGGGGGTGTGTGGAAGGCAGCCAATGTTCTGCTCTCACATCCATGTTTCTCTCTCTCTCTCTCTCTCTCTCTCTCTCAAAATCAACTAAAAATATTTTTAAAAATAAAAGCCAAAGCTATATTTTTAAAATAATCTTTAATGAGGCCTTTATTAAAATATTATAAACTTCACTGGTTTCTTAATTGGCATCATTTGAGCACAGTAACTACACTGAAATGTAATACAAAGATTCCTCCTTTGGCATTAAGGCAGGCAAGTATGTAAGGATTATTTTCTTGCCTTAAATGGCTTCAAGTCACTAAGCTTTTTGCTTTTGAGTATTTTTTATAGTTACCTCTCCCTTTCCTTCCTATCAGCCAGACATCTTTCACTGAAAGCACATTTCTTAAGGCGTTGTTATACCACTGTTAATTTCTTGAAGAGTTCTCAATTATTATAAAAACTTATTACCGCCTGCCCTTCCTCTAGTAATCCAAACCCAAAATGCTCAGCCACAAATCATTGCCCAAAGTCCGATGTCTGGCCCCAAACCCGTTGGCACCTCACTACCCCATTCTTCACAATCCCTGCCCTCAGGCCAAACAAACCCAAACCACCTGTGGTCATTCCCTGAGCCCAAGGTGCTCGCACCCTTCCCAACCTTTCCACCTTTTGTCTAACTGCCACCTCCTCCCCGTCGCAAAGGCCAGAAGTAAACTTGCCCCCTCCCAACTTAAGGAAAGCTTCCAGTCCGCCTCACAGCCTGCACACCTCTACCTCTCACTTTGGTTTTCTCAGATATATTTTAGCTCTCCTCGGACAAAACCTGTGGACAGGTCCTAGCACAGCACAAGCACAAAGGAAACGCGCCAAGGAGAGCGAGGCAAGCACTGCGCTGTCTGTTCAAAATCACCTTCGCCAATGCCGGGTCCACAGCCACCGCCGACTCTCTCCAGACACGAACTTCCGAAGCCCACCGGGCGAGCCCTCGGCAGTCCGACCCTGAAGGCAGCCGGTACCCTTCCCCTCCCAAAGGCGAGACCCAGGACGCCCGCGGCGGAGACC